CGAAGTTTTTTTGGTAAAGAGACGCGTGACGTCATCGCGAAACGAAGTTTTTTAAAGAGACGCGTGACGTCATCGCGCAACGAAGTTTTTGTTAAAGAGACGCGTGATGTCATCGCGCAACGAAGTGACGCGTGACGTCATCGCGCAACAAAGTTTTTGTTAGAGACGCGTGACGTCATCGTGCAACGAAGTTTTTTAAAGAGACGCCTGACGTCATCGCGCAACGAAGTTTTTTTAAAGAGAGTGTGACGTCATCGCGCAACGAAGTTTTTTAAAGAAACGCCTGACGTCATCGCGCAACGAAGTTTTTTTGGTAATTAGACGCGTGATGTCATCGCGCAAAGAAGTTTTTTGTTAAAGAGACGCGTGACGTCATCACGCAACGAAGTTTTTTGTTGAAGAGACGCGTGACGTCATCGCCCAACGAAGTTTTTTAAAGAGACGTCAACGTCATCGCGCAACGAAGTTATTATCGCGACGCGTGACGTCATCGCGCAACGAAGTTTTTTAAATTTAAAACGAGACGCCTGACGTCATCACGCAAAGACGTTTTTTAAATTTAAAACGAGACGCCTGACGTCATCGCGCAACGAAGTTTTTAAAGAGACGCGTGACGTCATCGCGCAACGAAGGTTTTTTTATTTAAAACGAGACGCCTGACGTCATCGCGCAACGAAGTTAAAAAACGAGGCGCGTGACGTCATCGCGCAACGAAGTTAACTATTTTTTAAACGAAACGCTTGACGTCGCCGCTTACGAAGTTTTTAATGAGACGCGTGATGTCATCGCGCACGGGGTTTTAAGGATACCTGACGTCACCGCGCACGCGTTTAATGAAATGCGAGGTTACTGCGCACGCGATTTTTAGCGAGATGTGACGTCACTGCGCACGCCTTTTAGGCCGCGTGACGTCATTGAGCCACGGCTACCCGCGTTTTTTTATGCGAGGGCCACGTCATCGCGCTCGAGACCGCGGTGTTGGCGGGTATCTGCCGAGGCGAGCGGCATTTGAATTGGGTGACGTCACCACGTATTTTTTTTTCCCTCACCCCCTCCCCCTGTTCTGGGATCGTCGCTTCACCCCTCCCCAGCCCCCTGTGACGTCATTACGTTCGAGATCGCTCGCGCTTTCGGAGGTTCCGGGTCCCAAACGGCGTGACGTCATCACGTCGGACACCCGCCACCCATTTACCTGACGTCATCACGTCTAATCCCTCCCCCAACCCACGCTTTTTTACCTGACGTCATCGCGTTGGACCACCCACCTTATTTCTTTACCTTGACGTCATCACGTCGGACCTCCCCGCCACGCTCGGGTCTAGCGGAAGAGTGACGGAAGTGACGTCATCGCCACCGACGTCATCCCCAGTGACGCCGAAGTGCATCGGAGCGATATCGATCGATTGCTCTCCCCTATCCAAAGCCGATCCACCCCACTGCAGTGAAATCAATCAATTGCCGATTCGTACATCGTACGGGACATCTACTGGACATGTGTGGAAAAATAGATTTATAAATAACGACCGTCATCTCTGTATGTCTCTGTATGTCTAGCCTGGCACAGCAGTCAACCCATGGCACCTGCAGGGTCTGTCCCGTGACCTCCTCCTCATGCACCTAGCCTGGCACAGCAGTCAACCCATGGCACCTGCAGGGTCTGTCCCGTGACCTCCTCCTCCTCCTGCACCTAGCCTGGCACAGCAGTCAACCCATGGCACCTGCAGGGTCTGTCCCGTGACCTCCTCCTCCTCATGCACCTAGCCTGGCACAGCAGTCAACCCATGGCACCTGCAGGGTCTGTCCCGTGACCTCCTCCTCCTCATGCACCTAGCCTGGCACAGCAGTCAACCCATGGCACCTGCTGGGTCTGTCCCGTGACCACCTCCTCATGCACCTAGCCTGGCACAGCAGTCAACCCATGGCACCTGCTGGGTCTGTCCCGTGACCTCTTCATGCACCTAGCCTGGCACAGCAGTACAAACCCGTGGCACCTGCTGGGTCTGTCCCGTGACCTCCTCATGCACCTAGCCTGGCACAGCAGCAGTCAAACCCATGGCACCTGCAGGGTCTGTCCCGTGACCTCCTCCTACTCATGCACCTAGCCTGGCACAGCAGTCAACCCATGGCACCTGCAGGGTCTGTCCCGTGACCTCCTCCTCCTCATGCACCTAGCCTGGCACAGCAGTCAACCCATGGCACCTGCAGGGTCTGTCCCGTGACCTCCTCCTCCTCATGCACCTAGCCTGGCACAGCAGTCAACCCATGGCACCTGCTGGGTCTGTCCCGTGACCTCCTCCTCCTCATGCACCTAGCCTGGCACAGCAGTCAACCCATGGCACCTGCTGGGTCTGTCACGTGACCTCATGCACCTAGCCTGGCACAGCAGTCAACCCATGGCACCTGCTGGGTCTGTCCCGTGACCTCTTCATGCACCTAGCCTGGCACAGCAGTACAAACCCGTGGCACCTGCTGGGTCTGTCCCGTGACCTCTTCATGCACCTAGCCTGGCACAGCAGCAGTCAAACCCATGGCACCTGCAGGGTCTGTCCCGTGACCTCCTCCTCCTCATGCACCTAGCCTGGCACAGCAGCAGTCAAACCCATGGCACTTGTAGGGTCTGTCCCGTGACCTCCTCCTCCTGCACCTCGCCTGGCGCCAGCGCCGTGGGTGATGTGGACCGTTGAACGGCGGTTGTTGTTGTTGTTGTTGAGAAAGAGCTTCGTGGCTCATCGGATTTATTCCTACAGCAGGCTACAAAATGAACATTCTGGTTCCACTGCCATCCAGCAGCGAATCGTTCAAGGCTCTCGACGTTTCCATGCCAACGGGATTTCCGGGGCCCCTGCGTCACTCACTTACTTGGGGCGCTACCAACTGGGTGCAGGAGCGCGGAGGAGGAGGGGGGGGGGAAAGACGCTCTAATAATCCAGCGTAACATAATTAAAATGAAAACGGCTACGTCTATCCGACGTTTTTAAAAAAAAAAAAATCTTTAAATGCTAACAATAATAATAATATATCGGCTTAATATTGTAACCCTATGCGCTGAGTAATAACGTAAATTGGCGATTTATTTTTTGTTGGCGATTGGCAGTTCGATGGTCGATCAAGAACCCCCCCCCCCCCCCCATGCATTGGACGCGTCCACTCTCGAAGTTTCGCGAGATCTCAAGAGGATGGGGCGGGGCTATTGAGGACAGGGGGCGTTGTGGAGGTGGGGTGAGGGTGGAGTTAGGTGAAAGGGGGAGGGGCTAAAGCGGGGGGGGAAGGGCGGGGCTATCGGGGAAGGGGGCGGGGTTTTCGGATTTAGGATTCTTAGGGTTCTTAGGGCTTCACGTGTCCTCATGCGAATACGGGGGACGCCTCCACATACAAACGAGGTTGGGTTCCAGAGATCTGTGTTCGTAAGTCGATTGGGTTCGTAAGTCCAACTTTTACTCCCTGTGGATTCCAAACACGTTTTATACGGCGTGTACACTAAACACTGGGGAATGGTTTTCAAAGTTTTATAATCTCCTGTAGATGCCACTGGTTCTTTTATGTTCTGCAGATGTAAATGCCACTGGTTCTTCAAGTTCTGCAGATGTAGATGCCACTGGTTATTCACGTTCTGCAGAATGTAGATGCCACTGGTTCTTCACGTTTTACAGATGTAGATGCCACTGGTTCTTCACGTTCTGTAGATGTAGATGCCACTGGTTCTTCACGTTCTGTAGATGTAGATGCCACTGGTTCTTCACATTTTACAGATGTAGATGCCACTGGTTCTTCACGTTCTTCAGAATGTAGATGCCACTGGTTCTTCACGTTCTACAGATGTAGATGCCACTGGTTCTTCACGTTCTGCAGAATGTAAACGCCACTGGTTCTTTACGTTCTGTAGATGTAGATGCCACTGGTTCTTCACGTTTTACAGATGTAGATGCCACTGGTTCTTCACGTTCTGTAAATGTAGATGCCACTGGTTCTTCACATTTTACAGATGTAGATGCCACTGGTTCTTCACGTTCTTCAGAATGTAGATGCCACTGGTTCTTCACGTTCTACAGATGTAGATGCCACTGGTTCTTTTATGTTCTGCAGATGTAGATGCCACTGGTTCTTCACGTTCTGTAGATGTAGATGCCACTGGTTCTTCGTGTTATGCAGATGTAGATGCCACTGGTTCTTCACTTTTTACAGATGTAGATGCCTCTGGTTCTTCACGTTCTGCAGAATGTAGATGCCACTGGTTCTTCACGTTCTACAGATGTAGATGCCACTGGTTCTTCACGTTCTGTAGATGTAGATGCCACTGGTTCTTCACGTTCTGTAGATGTAGATGCCACTGGTTATTCACCTTCTACAGATGTAGATGCCACTGGTTCTTCCTGTTCTACAGATGTAGATGCCACTGGTTCTTCACGTTCTGCAGATGTACATGCCACTGGTTCTGCAAGTTCGAGGGGCGTGTCCAATGCCCCTTATATGGACATGAGGGCGTATCCCCGATGCCCTAATATGGTCACGTAGGGGGGTTATCCAATGTCACTTAATATGCACATAGGGTGTACCCCGATGCCCCTTATATGGACATGAGGGCGTACCCCGATGCCCTTTTATAGACATGCCCCTTATGGGGTTATAGGCAGGCGTGACGGCGCGTGATTGGGTGGGGGTGGTAGTTGGGTGGGGTTGGTAGTGGGTGGGGGATAGTGGGGGGGGTAGTGGGTGGGGGAGTAGTGGGTGGGGGGGTAGTGGGTGGGGGTAGTGGGGGGGTGGTAGTGGGTGGCGGGCTAGTGGGTGGGGGTATTGGGGGGTAGTGGGTGGGGGTTGTGGTGGGGGGGGGTGGTAGTGGGTGGGGGGGGGCTAGTGGGTGGTTGTGTAGTGGGTGGGTGGGTAGCAGGTGGGGGTTGTTAGTGGGTCCGGGGTTGATAGTGGTTTGTGTGGGGGGGGGGAGGGGGGCTTTGTAGTGGGTGGCATTGTTAGCTGGGGGGCGTGGTCTGGCAGTTGGGGGGGGGAGGGGCGTGGTCTGGCAGTGGGGGCGTGGCGTGGGGGGGAGTGTGTTAGCGTGTGTGTGGGGGGTGGGGGCTCTTTCTCGAATGTTCCCGCCTACATTAAGGAGTCGCGAGCTAGCAGCCGGTTCCGCATTGCGGGAATCGTTGGGGGTTCTCATCGCAGGCCGATCGCTCGTGTCTCTGTCTCTCTCTCTCTCTACAACGCCTCGCGACAAGTCCGCAAATCTCTCTCTGCTCAGGAGTTGTGGTGGTTGTGGTGGTGAGGGAGGAGGTCTGTAGTGCGCTTAGATAGTCTTAGAGAACTAGCCGCTGTTCTAAGAGGGGGGGGGTAAGGTGTTGTGTGGTGGTGGTAGTGTCTTGGGGCCTAGGCAAAACAATTTTCTTTCGCAGGGGGTGTGTGGTGTGTTGTGTGTGGGGGCCCCTTTGGCAGTCTATTATATAACGTATCTCTTACGCCTTTTGGGGCAGTCTGTTACACTTTTTTGCCTAGTTGGAGGCCTTAGACGTTCGATACGATACGGCAGGGGTTGTTGGGTAGGCTCTCGGAGGTCTGGTTACAATCACGAACAGTTTAAGCCGGGGGGGCGGCGATCCTTTTTGACATTTCGACTTTTTTCCTATAAAACCTTACACAGACCGCCCCCCTCTCCCTCCAGCTTAACGTATCGATTAATAACAAGACAAATTGGCGATCTTTATTAGCGTCTCCGTAAACGATATTAGTAACAATTAGAATAAATCCGCTAACGGCTGTTGTATATTAAAATTTGTTTTTGGTGAGGCGGTTGGTGGTGGTAGTGGTGGTGGTGGTTTAAAGGTCGGTTTTTGGGGGGGGGTTTAGCGAGATGCTTTAACAAGCGAACCTTTATATAAAAGTACAACATTAAAAAAATATTTAATAAGTTAACCGGTTGCGGCTTTTGAGGAAGAGAGAGCGAGGCGCGTGTGTGTGTGTTCGTGTGGTTTTGTTTGGTTTGATTTGTCGTCGCTGCGCGTGTTCAAAAAGTTTATTTAGTTAGTCTGTAAAGAAGTACAAAAAGACGAAGATCATCATCATCATGTCGGTCGTGGGTTTCGACGTCGGATTTCAGTCGTGCTACATAGCGGTCGCTCGATCGGGTGGCATCGAGACCGTGGCGAACGAATTCAGTGACAGATGCACTCCGTGAGTATCTGTGAACACGCATTACCATTACACATACACACATATTCACACACACACACATGCACACACACACTTAAACAACGCAACACAACACAAAAAATAATAACTGTATAATGAAAACAACGCAGTCTTGAATTTTTGATTGAATGCTTTCGCGACTCATATTCTTGGTTCTTTTGGGTAAAGTCACCACCACGTGGGGAGGGAAACAATGAAATAATAAAGTCACCACGTAGAATGAGAATAAAATAATGAATTAATAAAATAATGAATTAATAAAATTCTCGCGACGTTTCGGCCACAACACAAGCGGCCTTCTTCAGGTGAAAGGAACAGACCATTTCGGTAAAGTCACCACCACGTGGAAAGGGAAACAATGAAATAAAGTCACCACGTAGAATGAGAATAAAATAATGAATTATTAAATTAATAATATAAAATAATAAAATTCTCGCGACGTTTCGGCCACAACACAAGCGGCCTTCTTCAGGTGAAAGGAACAGACCTTTTGGGTAAAGTCACCACCACGTGGGAAGGGAAACAATGAAATAATAAAGTCACCACGTAGAATGAGAATAAAATAATGAATTAATAAATTGATAAAATAACACGGTAAAATTCTCGCGACGTTTCGGCCACAACACAAGCGGCCTTCTTCAGTTGAAAGGAACAGACCCGTCGGGACGACAGAGCTTCAATGAACGTTGTTAAGATTCGTAGCGACTTTTAAGCTGGTTTTAGAGAAGTTAAAAGACGCTACGAATCTTAACAACGTTCACTGAAGCTCTGTCGTCCCGACAGGTCTGTTCCTTTCACCTGAAGAAGGCCGCTTGTGTTGTGGCCGAAACGTCGTGAGAATTTTATTGTGTTATATTTTATTATTTTATTCTCATTCTACGTGGTGGTGACTTTACCGAAAGAACCAAAGAGGATGAATCCTTGCGGTCACGAAAGCTTTAAATCGAAATATAAAATAAAATAAATATAACATTCTTGGTTCTTTTCGGTAAAGTCACCACCGCGTAGAAGTGGAAACAATAAAAAAAATATAAAACAATAAAATTCTCACGACGTTTCGACTGCAACACCAAACAATCACCTGATGATGATCACCTGATGACGATTGCTGCTTCTGGTGTTGCAGTCGAAACGTCGTGCGAATTTAATTGTTTTGAAATTTTTTTTTCATTATAATTTTATTGTTTCCCTTCTACGTGACTTTACCGAAAGAACCCAAGAAGATGAATCTCCCCCCCTTGCAGTCACGAAAGCTTTAAATAAAAATGAAAACAACGTTATAACTACAAGCTGCGGTTATGTAAGATGTGTAACAATAAGTCCCGTGGTTATCGTGTTCGTTGTGAGGTTTTTGTGTGTGTGTATGTGTGTGTGTATAAAGCGTCGAGGGTTGTGCGATATTGTAATTATTACAAACCCATCGATCAGTTGATAGAGCGTGAACGAGGGCTGTTAATTGTTTTAATGTATTGCGTGTTAGTATATACAGTATAAGATTAATATCACACGCGCGCGCGCGCACAGGCACGCCGTGACTTATATATAATTTTATTTTTTTAAAATCCTGCACTGTGAAATGTTAACTTTCTCACCCGTTTGGCTTCGTGTGTGTTTTTTAATTTAAACTTTAGACTTTTTTCCTACCCCCCCTCCCCAAATACCGCTTCTTTTCATGTCGTTGAGCAAATCCGATGATCTACAAAGCTCTTGACACCCCAGCAAAATCGCCAATTAACTCTATAGCCACGCTTGCTTGCCATGGAGAGTTGTGTTTTAAAAACCAAAAAAAAACGATGACGATTTAACGCGAATAATTGCCCCCCAAGACTTTGACTTATCTCCATGCATCATTCAATTTTGTTATTTATTTGTGCGTGTGTGATGGGGTTTTAAAAGTAAGAGAGGTGGGTGGTGGTGGTGGTGGGATGGACATTGCGTTGTGTCACTTAGGTTGATATGGGGTGGTGATGGGAGAGAATAAATGTAATTTTTTTAAAATTGGCCCATGTGTGTTAAAATACAAAAATTATTGCCACCACCGCCGCCGCCAAAGTTGAGTTAATTTAAAACGAAAGGTGACGCAAGTAAAAATTTTGGGGTCGTTTTGACTTAAAACTTTTAGTTGCCGCGGGAATTAATTAATTCTCCCTCCGCCTGATGAAGGACGCTCGTGTTGGCGATCGAAACGTCGTGGGGGGTTTTTTCGTTATTGTTGTTGTTGTTGCTTTGAACATTTTCAATTTATTTAAACGAAACCGTTCTATCCACGGGGCTTTACCGAAAGAACTAAGAATTTTGAGGGTGAGTGGTGGTGGTGGGTGGTGGTGGTGGTGGTTTAACACACAGGCATGGCTTTCGCGAACGATATGAAGTGGTTTATTTTTGAGTGGCGTTAGGTCGCGTTCAGGATCCCATGTTGTGTCGTAAAACCCTCCCCCACCCACCCGACACTGCCACTGAGGTTTGTCACGTAATTCAACGCGCCAATTGGTTACTGGTATAGTAGTGTGTAGTGTATAGTGTAGTGTATAGTAGTGTAGTGTGTAGTAGTGTAGAGTGTAGTGTATAGTGGTGTAGTGTCTCGTGTAGTGTAGTGTATAGTGGTAGTGTATAGTAGTGTCTAGTGTAGTGTATAGTAGTGTCTAATGTAGTGTGTAGTAGTGATGTGTAGTAGTGTAGTGGGTAGTAGTGTCTCGTGTAGTGTGTAGTAGTGTCTCGTGTGTAGTGTATAGTGTAGTGTATAGTAGTGTCTAGTGTAGTGTATAGTGTAGTGTATAGTAGTGTCTAGTGTAGTAGTGGTGTATAGTTGTGTAGTGTCTCGTGTGTAGTGTGTCGAGTGTAGTGTGTAGAGTGTAGTGTATAGTAGTGTATTGTCTCGTGTAGTGTATAGTAGTGTAGTGTCTAGTGTATAGTAGTGTAGTGTCTATAGTGTAGTGTACTACAGCCCACCGGTGTGTTGGGGAGTAAGGTACACAACATTTACTACTTGAGTAGTACGACGTTTCGCTGCCAGTTGCAGCAACCGGCATTGTCGTGTGATTTGCCGGGATAGTTTTTGCAAAATTCTGATAAAAAAATTTGGGCGTTAGACCCAAAAGTCATCACGACGAGCAGTTCATCATCATCATCACCATCATCATCAGCAGGCCAAGAAGGTCTTAGCCACTGCTAGATGAAGTCCTTCACTAGCCATCATCACCACCAGCCAGGGTCTATCCACTGCTGGATGAAGTCCCCCTAGCCATCATCACCACCACCAGCCAGGGTCTATCCACTGCTGAGTGAAGTTGTCCCCCTAGCCATCATCACCACCACCAGCCAGGGTCTATCCACCGCTGGATGAAGTCCCCCTAGCCATCATCACCACCAGCCAGGGTCTATCCACTGCTGGATGAAGTCCCCCTAGCCATCATCACCACCACCAGCCAGGGTCTATCCACTGCTGAGTGAAGTTGTCCCCCTAGCCATCATCACCACCACCAGCCAGGGTCTATCCACCGCTGGATGAAGTCCCCCTAGCCATCATCACCACCAGCCAGGGTCTATTCACTGCTGGATGAAGTCGTCCCCCTAGCCATCATCACCACCAGCCAGGGTCTATTCACTGCTGGATGAAGTCGTCCCCCTAGCCATCATCACCACCAGCCAGGGTCTATCCACTGCTGAGTGAAGTCGTCCCCCTAGCCATCATCACCACCATCACTACCAGCCAGGGTCTATTCACTGCTGGATGAAGTCGTCCCCCTAGCCATCATCACCACCAGCCAGGGTCTATTCACTGCTGAGTGAAGTCGTCCCCCTAGCCATCATCACCACCAGCCAGGGTCTATCCACTGCTGGATGAAGTCGTCCCCTTAGCCATCATCATCACCACCAGCCAGGGTCTATCCACTGCTGAGTGAAGTCGTCCCCCTAGCCATCACCACCACCAGCCAGGGTCTATCCACTGCTGAGTGAAGTCGTCCCCCTAGCCATCACCACCACCAGCCAGGGTCTATCCACTGCTGGATGAAGTCGTCCCCCTAGCCATCATCACCACCACCAGCCAGGGTCTGTCCACTGTTGGATGAAGTCGTCCCCCTAGCCATCATCACCACCACCAGCCAGGGTCTATCCACTGCTGAGTGAAGTCGTCCCCCTAGCAATCATCACCATCACCAGCCAGGGTCTATCCACTGCTGGATGAAGTCGTTCCCCTAGCCATCATCACCACCACCAGCCAGGGTCTATCCACTGCTGGATGAAGTCGTCCCCCCTAGCCATCACCACCAGCCAGGGTCTATCCACTGCTGGATGAAGTCTCCCCTCTAGCCATCATCACCACCACCAGCCATGGTCTATCCACTGCTGGATGAAGTCCCCCTAGCCATCATCATCACTACCAGCCAGGGTCTATCCACTGCTGAGTGAAGTCGTCCCCCTAGCCATCACCACCACCAGCCAGGGTCTATCCACCGCTGGATGAAGTCGTCCCCCTAGCCATCACCACCATCACCAGCCAGGGTCTATCCACTGCTGGATGAAGTCGCCCCCCTAGCCATCACCACCACCACCAGCCAGGGTCTATTCACTGCTGGATGAAGTCGTCCCCCCTAGCCATCACCACCAGCCAGGGTCTATTCACTGCTGGATGAAGTCGTCCCCCCTAGACATCATCACCACCACCAGCCAGGGTCTATCCACTGCTGGATAAAGTCCCCCTAGCCATCACCACCACCAGCCAGGGTCTATCCACTGCTGGATGAAGTCGTCCCCCTAGCCATCATCACCAGCCAGGGTCTATCCACTGCTGGATGATGACCTCAAGTGTCATTTCTCGGCGAATGAACAATTTAATCATTTCTAGGTGTCAGGGGTTCGAATACCATTTGTTGTTGTTTCTATAGTTGCCCACTAATGAATTGCCAAACTGGTTGCTGTTGAAATGTAAAAATCTTACAAAACGTGAGTGGTGGCGGTGGTAGTGGTGGTTTAGAATCCTT